CAACGTCAATATCAATGTTCTTAAAGTCACAAAAGGCTTTCCTTCTAGCTCTTGAACCTCTTAGGCAGATTAGTGCGGATCTTAGTAAAGCAAAGGATGGTATTGGTATTGGTATTATTATTATCATAATTATTAGTGTCATTGTGGGTGATTTTCTCTCGCAGCATCCGAGTCCAAACCATGGACTTTGGGAAGCAAAGAGGGTTTCTACTTGATGGAGAGGACCCGCCTGAGAAGGTGGGTGGTAGAAAGGAGAGTTATTATTATTATTATTAAATATTATTATTATTGTATTATTATTATTATTATTAAATATTATTATTATATTATTATTATATTATTATTATTATTATTATTATTATCATTATTATTATTATTCAGAAGTTAGTGTGAAGCCAATCCAGCAGTCAGGTTAAATCACTCACATAATTCTTCTTGTCTGCAATGGCATCGATGAGTTTCCTTTCCTCTTCTCCCAACAGATGAGCCTGCAGAGACTAAAGATGTTTCATTAGGCTTCTAGCTAACAGCTGTATTCACTAGACCAATTATCAGCCACTATTTGAGAGCAGAAAGATCATACTCATTATCATGAGAGCAGCAGGTGGCAAGTCTAATCTGCAGTCAGTTAACATGGAACAGCTTTCAAATATTACCATAATGATTATTGAATGCGATTTTTGGCTCACATTGTGGCAAATGTAATCTGCTACATACAAGTCATGTAATATATAAAACACACCACATGTCATTTGTTTAATTATAACTTCAGGAGTAAATCATCAAAAACTGGAATACAAACTTCAGCAAGGGCTTGCTTTCAAGTGTGCAGTTTAGTACAAGCACGTATATGTCCAATAACCATAAAGTCAAGTCAATTTGTCTGGATGTCAATGAAATGGAAATGTTCCATAGTCACCTTGATAGTGATTGGATCAATAACACAGTATTGCCCAGTGCCCATTGTCTCCTAAATAATTATTTCCACTTGTAAAACAGGTATGAAGGGTGATAAAACAAAGTCATATGATCAACATGTGTAGAAAAAGAGTTCATGTCCATTTCAATTAGAAAAAAAAAACATGCACATAACCTGATCATCAATAGCTTGTTGAATTTGTTCAAGTTTATGCGCAGCATCTTGCAGCTGAGCTTTTCTTCTGGTCAACTGGTCAGTCAACTGGGCAAGAACATCTTCAGCTGCCGATTAAATGAATTAACAATGGACCATCAATATTATACAATCTCAATTAAATTGGTGTTAAAGTTAATTCCTCCATCACCAGTATCCTCCTGGTTAGCATTAATTAATATGCTGTACATTTTCCCTGACTTTCCTTCCAAAGCAGATTTAAAATGTCAATTTTCCCTGACTCAAAATAAAATTCCTTGACTTTTCCCTGACCTTGAAGAATTTGTTTTTGCTGACCTCTTCCTGACCTGTGGCAACCCTGTCACAGATGAAAAGTAAAATACTCCCAGTGATGGCAAAGAACTAAAGCCAATCAGAGATGTAATGCTCCATAAGGGGCAGCATCTGCCTTATTTCACTGGCTGAAAGGGAACTTGAATCCAGTTGACATTTCACATGAAAACAGAGATTTGGGTAAACTTTGGAGCTGCCAATGAAAAACTACCTGAGCTTTTTAATGAGCTGGCTTAGTGTTTTCTTACCTACATCCCTGAGCAATCATCAACTGAGGTAGTTGGCATAACCATTTTGATATTGTCTAAAAGAGGTCTAATTCAATTTGATGCCTATGCATGTAACTGCACTACATTGTTACCTTGCTGAATTGCTCTCTCCTTGTCTCGTAAATCAAGAATCAGTGAATCATGTATTTCCTGTTGAACCTGTCTATTTTGCTCGTCATACTTATCACTCGGTCTTGACCCTATTGTTGTCACTTGAGCATGCTGTTTGCCACCCATAATGTTTGATTTCCTGGAAAATTTGTTAAGCTTAAACCTGGCCTTTCCAATGTATGGGCTCTCATCTTCTTCTCCATCTCCAAACTACAAGAACAAGAAATAAGATCATAATAAACTATGGGAAAAACCAACCATGAGGACCAAAATCAGAATAGTAGATTCAAAGCATGTTTGGTACTGGAATAGGCTCAATTTCCAGCCACTGTTCGGGAAACAGGCCCGCGCTCCTTCCCCAAATCCCCGAGTTCTCCTCAGGGAGGAACAAAGACTGGACGCAAGAGAGCAGCAGAAATCGAGCCTAGTACTGGAACTACTGCATTTGTATGCAGTAATGGCAGAGCTCCTGCAGCCCAAAGGGATGCCAAGCGGAGCCCCATACTCATATACTGTAGGAAAGAAAAGGAAACCCATGAGTTGATTTTCTCATGATTATCATGGCTAG